GGGAAATTATAAAATTATAAAAATAAAACTTAATAAAATACAATTCTCACGACGTTTCGGCCACAACGCAAGCAGCCGTCATAAGGTGTCAAGGCGCCCTTCCCCCTCTAACCCAGCTTAAATATACGCTGCCAAGCTTAGTGGTCTTCATTCAGACGCTGTCTTTCGGACAGACCTGTTCTTCACCTGAGGACGGCTGCTTGCGTTGTGGCCGAAACGTCGTGAGAATTGTATTTTATTGTTTTATTTTTATAATTTTATTATTTCCCTTCTACGTGACTTTACCGAAAGAAACACGAAGACAATGTGGTTGTGTTACTAATAAATGGTGCATATATTCGCACTATAAAATCATTAGTTGTCAAACCTTGTCAATGTTACCGGGCCACGATTGGCTTAGGGATAAAAGTGTGGCACGTTAGACGACGTCCTTCATTAACCTCTCAGAATAGGCAGGCACGTGATTCAATTGCCAAAGTGACGACTGGAGAATGATTTTGAAGAGCGGGAGACCTGTATCGGGCGGCCAATTGTGACGCCAGAACGCTGATATTGCAGGTCCGTTGGCGTACCTGTGTGTGTGTTGTGAGCGGGACAAATAAACCGATGCTATTTCGGACCCTCATCAACCTCTCGCGTGGCCACTGCTGGGAGTAAGAGTGATTCGTGTCACAGTTGACAAGGAGGAGGATCACGCAGCAGAACCAAAGAGTAAAACGCAGAGCGCTACCAAAACTTTTATTTCATCATTTATTGATGACCGTCCTGTGTCCTCGATAACGATCGAGGCACAGTGGGCACGAGTCACATAAGGGAAACACAGAGGTAGGGGGAGAGGGTGTAAAAGGGAGAGAGGGGTGGGCGGTAAAGGAAAGCTCTACGAATCGTGTAATAATAAGTATAACCAGTAAAAACAAAGTTTTTCACTATAAATCCTTTATATGCGTGGCGGCTAGAGTCCTCTCGTCCTCTGGCTTGAGATGGCTGCCACCTATGGGTCAGATGATTGTCTGCAGTATTAAACAATTGGTAATTAAATATTTAATTTGTTTTCCCTAAACAGTGTAAAATTTTTGAAAACATTTTTCACGAACATTAATTGTCTCGCACAACAAGTCTGTGTGCAAAATGGATCACGGGAAGTGGGTTAAAAAACGACCGAAAGGTTTGCACGGTCGTAAGCAAGCACGCATGCGAACTTAATATAAAGGATTTAAAAAACACGCATCATTATGGGCGGATGTGACAACCTCTCTTCGCTCCTGGTACCGTCTCCATTAGAACGGCGAGGGGTTGTACCGCTCAACCTTTGATCTAATTGTCTTCAAAATATTTAAATGAACGAATGCCTGAATGAGCCATCGTGCACATTACAAGACAAAACTTATGCTGGTGCGTAACATCGTACCATGAGTCGCCCATAAAAGGGTCTTCAAAGTATGGTATAAATATGACAAAATCATTAACTCGCATTATTGCATACTATAATAGTAAAACTGGCTTACCCTTTAGTGGAGAACGGCAATAAATTAACCACCAAATGCATATAGAGGGGAGCTCAACCTCAACAATTTCAGCTAAAGGATCAATTGGAAAATTTGTTTTACGATGATAAAACTCGTGAGAGTTTTACCATTCATTTGTACTCGTTTCCATGCCTTTATTATGTATGCATTGTGAGCTTTTGCTAACTGAGAAGCCCGCAGCAGAATTTCAATCTGCAATGTGGATGAAGAGCATTGCAAAGGTCTGACCATGGGGCTGCCGGCATCTGATCTACCTCCTGTCTGCATTCTGTCTGGTCGTGATTGTCTGCATGACTTGGCCAGGGTGGTCTGTGGAGCCTCAAGACTATAGTTTGAGTCGTTGGTTTGATAGACATCGTGCTTCAAACACAACTGACAGGAATTCAAACTCAACCACGGCGAGAAGAAATCTTGAAACGTCGCTGAAAAACAGTCATGACAAAGGTGAAAATCTGGACAGTGACCCAGAGTATGAGTACATTCTGAATGAGCCTGACAAATGCCAGATTAAATTTCCGTTCCTTGTGGTGCTTATCACTTCTGTGCCCAGATAACTGGAAAAATGCCCGGTGATCCGAGACCTGGGCCAATGAGATGCTGCTACACCAGCCCACAGGGGATTATTGTGTCCGTCGTGCAGGGAGGGGCTGGGTGCGGTGGGAGGGGCTGGGTGGGGAGAGGGTGGGGAGGGGGGGCTGGGTGGGGAGGGTGGGGCTGGGTGGGGAAGGGAGGGTGGGGAGGGGTTGGGTGGGGAGGGTGGGGCTGGGTGGGGGGGTGGGAGGGGTGGGGCTGGGTGGGGAGGGGCTGGTCACCCCGTGGTGCCCTTATAAAACTCAACGTTTAACCTACTCACGCCGGCTTGTGCCCGCCTTCACAGTCGGGAATATTTGCGGAATACACCACGCCGCCGTTGACCCTGGCCATTGTCCGAGCAACCCAACGTTCCTACCAGCTCCCTCCGCAGGAATGTGTTAATCTGAATATTCAAAGAGCAACTCAGTTACATGTGGTACAGTACTATTGATGTATTAAATATATTTAAAAGTTGAATGTTGATTGCTTTTACATAGAACATTACCTGATTGATTTGCTTTTTCATTAATATATATATACCTTCGTAACAGTATTATACGTTGTATTGACCACCGGGTGTGTATTAATGACTGGTATTCTGGCTTTTAATAAAGAAAATACTTGCTTGGATTAAAGTCCTGTTCCTGTGTCTGTGGTTTACCAGTGTGTACAACCATGTATGTTGAACTTATTTCGCACAGTATGTACAGCCAATCGCACTAATCGGAGGTGCGGGGGAAGCACAACAAATGAAAGATAAAAAGCAGTTCTAAAGAAATGAGTTTTCAATCTATATTTAAAAGTGCATAGCTCCAGTGGCTTCCTAATATCGGAAGGAAGAGTGTTACAGACAGCCGCAGAAGCGCATTTGAAAGCGCGCGATGCAGTGACAGTCTTTGTTCGATGGCCAGCCAAAAGCCACCATGAGGATGACCGGAGTTTACGTGATGATTTATGCTCCTTGTTGAGATTAGCAAGGTTTTATGGTTCAGTTGTGGGGAAGACAGCGTCGTCATTAGGACGCTCATTAGGACGCTGTCTTCCCGACAGCCCTGTTCTTCACCTGAGGATGGCTGCTTGCGTTGTGGCCGAATTTTATCTTGTTCTATTTTCATTATTTTATTCTTTCCCTTCTACGTGACTTTACCGAAAGAACCAAGAATATGGACTCAATAGCGGTTAAACGTGTCGTGAAAATTGCAGGACCCGACGATATTTTGCACGTGGCGATAAAACGACATTCTGGTCTCGTATGGTGCAGAGGCACTTTTCGATGACGAGAAAACAGAATTCTGCAGTCTGCGAGCACCACGCCCGATCCTCCCACAAATGTTGTCGCCTAAGCCTGAATGCCAAAGCAAAACCTCCGATTTTCCTGGATTAAGCAGCATCTAATTTTGTGCAAAGCACACGTGCACCACTCGCGCACTAATGGCGAGATGCCTCCGTGGCGCGATGTTAACTACCTCGCCTGGTATACAGGTCGTGGGTTCAATTCCAACCTTGACGCCTGTAGATTTGGAGTTTGCATGTTCTCCCTGTGCTCGTGGATTTTTCTCCAGGTCCAACAGTTTTCTCTCTCTACATTAAAAAAACATGTTTAAGAGTTTTTGGCTCCGATAAGTTCCACAAAAGCCACTTCGTTGAGCTATTATTTTTGGCCAGGTAGCTTCCGAAAAAGAGCTAAATAGTTCAGTGGGCCTTGGTAAAATAAAATGTTCATACTTGATTTGTTCATAGTTTTAGTTTATACATGTCGTTAGTCTCAGTTTAATTCCAAGCTACATGCTGTTTTACGCAAAATTCATCCTTTATTTTCTTTGAGTCCATATTTTTATCATCTGTACGTCATAGCAGGTAGCACGCACACATTCAAAACTTTATTTAGGCATATTGGGATGTAGGCTTTTCATGTGTATGACAGAACATCTTTGCTGCACCATTGTACATGACTTCACCGTGTACGTACTCATACACCAGAAATCTTGTGAAATATTAAATCTACAGCGGCCAGGAGAACAAGGTATTATTTGGTGAAAATAGTTTTATTGCCAAATATCAATATTTACATATATAATCAATAAGCACTTTTTTTAAGATGTTACATTTACTGCATTTTATATAATTTAATTTGTTAAATTCAAAATTAAGTTCCTACAGAAAACACTTCCATCGAGATCAAAGCAACAAACTCTTAATGCCTCGAAAGTTAATTAAGGAGTGGGGGGAGAAGGGTGTAAATTTTTTGCAACAGACCTCAAACTCAACGGTGCCACCATGTGGACAAACCTGTTAGCAGTTCTTGCCCCTCGTCGCAAAGACATTTTGTTGTTACAGCTCCAAGTCACAAATATTGCAGAGCCTTTGATTCCTCGACTTTCAGCATTTCAAAATTACAACGAATCTGCGAGAATGCATCGGCCACATGGAGGTTGCGATGTACCGCGGGAGATAATGTAACGTGGCTGTACTGGCCTTAAAATAATTCAAATGACCACGACCGCATGGCAAGCTGTTGCCACTCCCCTCCACAATGCTTCCCACGGGTAAAGGCTGCCACAAATTCCCTCTGCTTTCAACGGAGCAAAATTGATTTCTCAAATGAGGCAAAAAACTGCCTCCGAATGCAACTGCTTTAGAATTCTTAAATCTTGACACTGCCACCGAGTGATTTTATACATTGTACACCAAGAGAAAAGGATACAATAGGTAGTCATGTGTCTCGTCACTCTAAGGTGATCTTGGATGTAGCTCTGAAATAAGGAATTCTGCGAGTCTTTCTCCAATGCGAAGGGTTGACTGCTTTGCCAAGAGATATGGATGGGTATGTCACATGACACGATAGGAAAATTGGAATAAAATTGGGGAAATATTACAAAAAATGTAATAGATATTTTTGAAGTAGTCCAGTTATTGTATGTGGGGCTGTTACCTAATTTTTTTTTTATCAATCTTTCAATATTATGGTTATAAAACAGGGAACCAAGTCATATTAAACAATCGATTCTGTGGAGAATACTAGGAGGAACTTTAAAGCATGATATTGCATTATCATTATCTCTTGTAAGCTTATTCCCTTTGCAGCAATTTAGTGCCCATCACCCACCAAGCTAAATCGAGGAATGATGTTACAGCAAGCTTTCAGGTAGAGATAGCAGTCCTTTAAATCTTGTGGGCAATTCCACCACACCACAGGCAATGGCCTACTTCTGCAAACACCGTGGGTTGTTTTTCATGAGCACGAAAACATCTTGATGTTTTCGTGCAGTACACCTTAATGCCGACATTGCATCAATAAAGAATAAACCTGCAGATTGAGGCCATGAATTTCTTGGCCTTGATCATTTGATCCCAGCGCGACACGTCCATGAAATGTGCTCAGAACGAGAACAGGACTCAAAATCACGGCTCAATTTATACACCATGGAATCTTGCCAAATCACAAAATATATAACTGAACCACAATGCGCAAGAATTTACCAATATTTTAAATATATTTTTTCATTTTTTCTTTAGTTGCAGGATAGACGAACACAAAAAAGCTCCAAAATGGCAGACTGAACTTTAAGGCAAACAGTTAAATTAATGCAAACAAATAAACACACGCTAACCAAAAACCATAAAGTGCTTGTAAAGAATGCTGACTTTAATAAAAAAAAAATCTAATAATACACTGGTTCCATTGTAAATGTCCCATTGACTGTGGTTCCAATGGGCTTGCAAACTTGTCATCTACTGAACCGGTAACCACTCGTACAATAGCCACAACGGTTCAATGCCAGTTCAGGATCCACATGGTGCTGCCTAAATGTAAATGTTAACTACTTGAAATGTTTGCCCAAGAATGCTGTGACACTGCAATCAACCCTCCCTCCATCTCTCCCGGTATGTTAAAACGGACATAAACACAAAAGGTGTGCCCCACTTTCAAGCTATATTAGCTCATACCTTTGCAAAAATAGGTAGTGTTTTATTTTTTATAACCTCTCCTAATTTTGCCCATGAACAAGAAGAGAACTGCTGTAAATATATCCCCCTCTACATTACATGTGCGTTGGTCACAGGAGCAATTCCAGGACACGGTAAACAGCGGGACCACCTTCTTAAAGTGGGACCACCCATGGTCACGCCCTCAAAGTAAAACTCCCTAAGAGAGACCAAGACAAAGGGCTGAATTTGGCAGTCAGATGTCAACCATGTAACCACTGCAGAACATGGTCAAAAAAAATAAGCGGTTGTGAGATGCGGTAGCATATCAGCAGCACTGGCTGTGATGAAATCCTTCACTTAAGCTCGAGTGCTTCCACAGCCATCCCGAGGAGCTGCCTCTAGAATGGGGGGCACAAGGCGGGGGGGGGGGGGAGCGGGGGGCCACTATCATTACAGGGGCACAGACAACTCCACTCCCCTGCGGAATCGCCAAAAGTTGGTAATTTCCTAAACACGACAACCAAATGTTATTAAATGCATCACACACAATGCACGTGTTATCTGCATTTGCGCACAAAACTACCATTTCTTTAGCCTTGCCCTCATCACGTATTGCTCAGCTGTAGAAAACAGCTATAAAACACATACCTGTTTCTTTGTAGGAATAAATAAAAGTAATAAAATACAGTAACATGAATTTTTTTTCTACCCAGAATTTCACTGAGCATTCAGAATTATTTTTCCTACCTGCTTTTCTCACACCTCATTCACCTCCGATCTGCTTTTCACTTCCGGGTTTCACAGAACACCAACATTGAAACTGCAAAGCAACTCGGTAGGGAAATGGAGGCCAGGTTAAGGGTTAGCAGTGGAGTTAAGATCAGGGATTGGGGTCGGGCTAGCATCCGGTTGGCTAGTGTAGTACGTCCCTTAACAGTCTATCCTTCCCTTATTCCAAATATGGCATATTCACTTTTGGTGTCAATAAGCTCCTGCCAATCCACCCACCCACCCCGTTAGTGCGTCCCCTGGCAAAATGGTTGTGCCGCACAACACCGGTGCGGCACCACTTCTCCCGTCACGCCCACCCGGCTACCTGACACGTTCTTGGCGAGCGCCAGGGCCAACGAGACCATTCCCGCGGGACTAACGAGGCTGGGCCTCCCGGCGTCGCCAAATACTCCTCCTCCGCCGCCGCCGTCGGCCGTGATGAGTGGGCCTCCGGCTGTCACCGTGCCCCCCAGGCCATGTGAGAGCTGCGTGTTCAGGTCGTTGTGCACCAGCACAAAGGGGTCCGTGCGGTTGTTGAGTGACACGTTCGCGAGGGGAGTGGGTGAAGGAGGATCTTTTGTGCCTCTCCTGTGTGGTGTGGTACTCAGACCCAGCTGCGGCTGTTGCTGCTGCTGAAGCAACTGCTCAGGCGGTTGTTGCTGTTGCAGTGGCTGAACTGGTGGCACATGTTGCAACAAATGCTGCCGATAGGTCTGATTTTGCTGCTGAAGTTGCTGCTGCTGAAATGGATCCTGTTGCTGCTGCTGCTGCTGAATCGATTGCTGTTGTAGCTGTTCAAGTAAGGACTGCTGCTCTTGCAACAGCGACGCGCCCGCTGCATCGGCCTTGGGCGGGCATGACGGCGCGATAATGAGCTGCTGCGCAGCGATCGTTGCAAGCTGCGCAGAGCCCAGCAGGGGCTGCTCCATGGTCGACGTCGCCTGCGGAGTCTGGCTGGGGAGACGCTTCTCCTCGCTGGGAGGCTGTGTGGCCACGAGTTGCTGCACGATTGCAGCGAGTTGTTGCTGCTGTGGCGTGGATGGAGAAGACAGCAGCGGTGGTTGAACCGTCGCAGCAGGGGGCTGCGACGCAGGCGTGCCGGCTGAATCGGTGCACCCAGTGGCAGCTCGTTCCCTGTGTGGCAGCGATGGAAAGAGCGTAAGGATTATGAAAGTGACCGACCCGCTGCCTTTATAACTTAAGCCGTCCAGATTGTCCAGATTTGGGGAGTCTGGATTGCTGAGAAGTGTTGGGAAGTTTTGATGGATTCACTTGTGCACTTTTGAGATGGTGCTGTGTTGATGCGAAGGTGTCACATTCATGAAGTCATTGGTGTTGTGATGGAGCCGTGAAGGTGCAAGGTTGTTTTCAGGTCAGCCTTGATATCGTGTCCATGTTGCGGTCATATCGATTGTCAGAATTTTGTTGGCCGTGTTGATATAGTGCCAATATTGTATTCTCATGTTGATGCTGTGTTAATGTTTTATTCTGTCGCTTTGAGTTAATGCGGTAACATTTGTGCGGGTTAGAGGTGTGGAACAGCAGTTAGCATGCTGGAATCGGAACCTGGCGACCTGCGTTTGATTCCCGGACACAACTAATATCAGGAGTGAGTAATATCTTAACGGGTGCGGATCACCCACCTACCACCTTCACCAACCTGCACTACCAGCGTCGTGAAGTATACGATCAAACAACAAACCCCCAAGAAGAACAAAATGCGTACAGTGACTTTCATTGAGCAGTGAATTGACAAAAGGCAGCAAATGAAATATTCAAATGCATTTAAATTGTTGTATTAGGGGTACTATAGTCACACTTCTTGCTTTAAATAACTCTTAAAACTCGTGGCCTTCAAATCCCACACTGCACCTGTGGAGGTGCAGAGCAGGAGAGTGAGGCATGACACGAAGTGGTAAGGGGACGAGAAAGTGGCGGGGGAAGAGTCACTATGAGAGTTTCCCCCAAAAACCTCTGCATCCTATCAGGCCAGACAGAAAATAGCGAATGGTATTCATAATAACAAGAGCGTCCAGAGGATGGTGATACACCGACATTCAAAATGAAATGTTTCAACGTCTTTGTGTTCTTGCGTTGGTGTGCCAGTATTGTCTTGACACAGTGTTGATGTTGCGTTGCAGTCATGATGAATGAGCACAAGTAATACTGGTAGGAACCTCCTGGTTACACCATCCCACAGGGGATTATTGTGTCCGTCCGTCGTGTAGGGAGGGGCTGGGTGGAGAGGGAGGGGCTGGGTGGGGAGGGGAGATTGGGGAGGAGCTGGGTGGGGCGGGGCTGGGTGGGGAGGGTGGGGCTAGGTGGAGAGGGGCTGGGTGGGGAGGGGCTGGTCACCCCGTGGTGCCCTTATAAAACTCAACGTTTGACCTACTCACGCCGGCTTGTGCCCGCCTTCACAGTCGGGCATATTTGCGGAATACACCACGCCGCCGTTGACCCTGGCCATTGACCGAGCAACCCAACATTCTTACCAGCTCCCTCCGCAGGAATGTGTTGTATTTCTGTCGTGCCGTGCCCCATTGCATAGGCATCAAACCGACTTGGTGTCAGTGTCCTGCATAGGTGTTGTGGGGCAGCTGTCATCAGAGGAAGCAGCCTGCCATGTGTGCGATTCATTTGCGGGGTGTGGTCACCATCACCCCAGTCGCTAGGTTTCTGCGATGGGGGTACTCCCGGCTCCTCGGCGAGCTGCTCCGTCCCACCGGCTCCGGGCTGCGGCGGCTGGGGCGCCGCGGGGGCGTCACGACATGCGCAGTGACACTGGCACGACTCCTCCTGCTTGATGATGATCACGGGCACCCTCAGCCCCATCACCTGCGCCGTGTTGCCTGCGCGAGCCAACGGGACGCAGTCACCAACACACACCGCGCACGAGCAAGGCACAGGGAGACGAAGGAAAGCAATATTCTAAGAGCGGTACAAATAAGTATAACCCGTAAAAACAAAGTTTTTCACTATAAATCCTTTATATGCGTGGCAGCGAACTTAATATAAAGGATTTAAAATATATTCGCCTGTGGAGGACGCGGGGATCGATCCCGCGACCTTTGACATGGGAAGCGAGGGCGCTACCAACTGCGCTACTCCGCCACGGCCTGTGGAGGGGTTACGCTCTGGGCTCTTATACTGTGACGTTCAGCCAAAGCGATGAATGAGTTCTATTTGAATATATGTAAAATCATTTTTTTTGCCTAAAAAGTGTAACATTTTTGGAATTTCTTTTTCACGAACATTAATTGTCTGGCACAACGAGTCTGTGTGGAAAATGTCAGCTCGATTGGATCACGGGAAGTGGGTTAAAAAACGACCGAAAGATTTGCACGGTCGTAAGCAAGCAAGCACGCAAGCAAGCAAGCATGCGAACTTAATATAAAGGATTTTTTAAAAAGTCACAAGTCCCATTACGGTGTGGGGGTCACCTGCTCAGCTTTCTCCATGAACTTCTATTCTGCAGCTCTTCTCTCATCACATGTACCGTCCTCATAAGTCGTTCTACCACATACCCTCACTCTCCCTCTACTCCAGTATTGCTGACGTGTCCCCCGACAATACACAAATGTGAAAACATCCCATCATTATGTCAAACCCAAAGGTTTCAAATGTGTGGCGGCCCTCACACGGATGTTTTATGGGGAAAAGTGCCCCCCCCCCCTGAAAATTAGTGAAGAACACTGCTCTACTCCTTCCCTGCACCCCCATCATCTTTATCATCTATGGGTCGATGGGAGTCTATCGGTCGCTCATCTCCAAAGTCCTTCTGCTTGCAACTTCTTAAGTCTTTTCACCACACAAGTTCAAACCACCTCGCCTTCTTGAGAATACTAGCAATCCCTTCATTAGACCTCCTTTGCCAGTACCAAAATATAATAGGGTTTTTCCCGTTTTTTCTGGCAACAAAACTGAAACCTTTTTACAAGTATTCATGTCTGCATTAAAACCACAATACTTGCAGTCAAAATGCAAACAAAAACGCAATACTGGCAAAGGAGGTCTAATGATGTAGATGCTCACCCTGAGCCCTCATTACTTTGATAGTGCAGCATTGTCTTTGAGCTGTACGCCTTTTGGCGTCCTCTGGTCGAGCACCAATTGGGTCGAGGCTCAAAAGAAAGCCGTCCCTTGGTGTGGACCAACCAGTTTCAAGGACAATGCCCATATACTGTCATAGTGTGTTTATGTTTGCATTTTGACTGCAAGTATTGTGGTTAATGCAGACATGAATCCGTGTAAAAAGGTTTCAGTTTTGTTGCCAGAAAAAGGGGAAAACCCCTATTATTATAATCCCCCTGTTTAGACTCATTCATTCTCCTTTCCCTTAACTATTTCCCCACCTCAGTAATCTCATCTGTCCTTTCAAGCACTTGCCTCCTCAGTGCCCACGTCTCTGGACCATCAAAACATTACTGCTGCTTGTATCACTGTTCTGTATTTCTATTTCAGTTTTTTTACGGACTATTTCTATCATGGACAATTCCTGTAAATAATGATAATCTTCATTAACGATGCAACCCAAAATAAATGGCTATTTCACTGTCAACAGATACAGAGTTTGTGTCCCGAGCTGTGAGCTGTTACACAGATGCACACACACTTGTAGATACAGTGACTTTCAAGAGCACCACCATAACTATAACTTTTAATACATAAAAAATTCACCTTTCAGGTGAATGCTACGATGCCATTCCGTGGTAATGTGCGACATTATCGTGTGACATAAACTCATGGCGAGGCTTAAAAGGCTACGACATCACTAGTTATATACTACTTGCTCTGTAACGAGGAATGCACCCTCACCTCCGAGTTGTGCGGGGCTCCCAACGGCCGTGGTGAGGTACACTTTCTCCACCGTCACCTTGTCCTTCCCGGCAACCTGGAGGTAGATGACCAAGCAGGACTTGTGATACTGTGTGTATGGCTGTACATCATCCGTACCGTTCGACGTTTAACCAAAATCACAGCCACCTGAACTGGAGCGATAGTTACCCATGAGCCCGGCGGCGCGGTCATGGCGGCGGCGCCGATGCCGCTCGTTTCCAGGATCCAGCGCAGCTCTTCCTCGGGCAGCCCGCCGGGGTTGATGCTCTCGGCGGCAGGCGGCGGCAGCATCTTTGTCACCCGTGGCGGCCGGCCGGGTCTCACCCACCTCCATGGACGCCTCGTCCATGACAACGCCCGCGCCCGCCGAAGCGGGGGCACTCTCCGTGGTGGCCCTCGGCTGCGCCGCTAGGCTCAGAGCCTCCGAGAGATCCAGCACAATCGTCGACGGAGGAGCGGCATGGCCTACGCCATCGCCGCTAGCGCTGCCGCCATCCACCGACGATGCTGGTACGGCCGCTCCGTCAGGTCCACCTGCTGCACTCGCTTCCCTGCTCAACGATGGTGGCGACGACGCCATCGATGGCACAGCTGCCTTCCATCCCCTCCACCTCCATGACGCCAGAATCGCTCTGCACCACCCACTTGTATGGGACGTCAATGCCCTCGTCGTTGTTGGCGCTGCTGCCACCGGCACCTCCGGTACTGCCGCCGTCCGTTTGCCGCACTACCACGAGCTGCTGCAGGGAGCTGGCACTCGGTGGCGGTGGCGGTTGAATGACTCGGAGCACAGGCAGCGGGAAGCCGGCGTCTGTTGGGCTGTCCGCACTTGCCGGGTCTGGAGCGAGCGGAATGGGAAGTGGCAGAGATGGGCACAAAGTCACCGGTTATAACGTGTGTAGTGGTGATGGCATTTTGGCGCATTGTGGGAAGCAGAGGGCAGTGCAAAAAAAACCCGTTACACTGTACTCCTACACTTTCACATCTTTGCTCCCCGCATTCTTGAACCCGTACTGACCAGCATGGTGAAGTAGTCAAATAACCCCCATGAACGACGTGGCTCAGGGAAGCATTCATCCAGCAGTGTAATGACATTATTACATGTACATGTAATACCTGCACAAGAAACCGCTACAGATATGGGTCTGAAGATAGCCATACCAGGGCCACGTTTACTTATCCAGGATGATGAAATGTAATCTTCAAAGGAGAGAGCTGTTGGGTAGTGTTGCTCGTCCGTTAAGTGGCCCTCAAACTCCACGATTCTATGACGGCTGTCAGTTTTCCACACAAAAAAAGCATTTAATTCCCGCTGTCTATAAGGCCTTATACTTATCCATGCATAGAGGTCGGCAACCCATTTGCTATACTGCTACCTTCAGCTGTATGCATATTGAACTGCTAATCGGAGCGGCGGTTCACTCAACATAAGTTTGCAGACTAAGTTTTCTAATCGTTGAAAGTTCACGATCTATAATCCTTATCAATTTATCTTATTCAGCTCAATCCTCCCATAAAAACGTTTATGTGGCCACCCAAACTTTGAAACCGTGCAGCATCGAGGCCATTATGTTCACCTCCTTATCATCTTTCCTAATGCAGGAGTCCCATTCTCCATTCCATTTCCATTCTTTTCGTATTCTCATTCTTTTTCTTCTCCTTTTACTTTCCCATTCTTTTTCCTTTTTGGTATGCATCATATCCTTGACTCTACTTCCATTCCCGTTGTGTGCCATGGGTAAAGTAATGCACAAAAAAACGATACAAATTTTGAAATTCACTTTTAAAAATTTCGGGAAACTAACAACATGATAACCGTCATAAAAAAAACGATATTACAGCAACCTGAGAGCCAAATGCCGACCGACGCGAAGGCACTTTACCGTGGTCCCTGTCGCCGCCCGTGGAGCCAGTGTCTTCGGTTTGGAACATGGAGTCGAAGATGCTCTCCACAGTCACCGTCGTCAGGTCCGGTTCCACCGCCTGGTCCACGAAGCGGCGTCAAAATACGCCAACACAACACAAGCGGAGTGCTCATAAAAAGGCGCGTAGCGCACACAGCGAAATCGGAGACGAGGGGGCACGCGACCATCTAAAGTAAACCAGATTCTTTCGAGACTGTTTAAACAGTCTTGTTTGAATTGTCCATCTTGAATATACCATCCCTGTTTGCCCCCATCTATTTTAAGCCATTCAACGATACCTTTTCATAACATCACACTATCGACAGTTATACACACGATTCCAAATGTGCATCTTAAGCATAGGTGACTTTACCGAAAGAACCAAAGAGTATGGATTCCTGCAGTCACGAAAGCTTCAACTCAAGAAAGAATCGATCTTCATTTCATCATTTGTTCATAATTGCTATTACCGGCCGCAAGAGCCAAGGTTCAGAGGAGTAAGGTGCATAATGTTGTTGTCTGTGTGTGGAGTGGGTACCAGGCACTTCTGCAGGGTCTCCTCACTGATGTCGGAGGCTGGGGTGATTGGGTCGAAGTCGGACAGGTAGAATGCGTTCTGGCTGTCCTGTCAGGGGCACAAAGCACCACCAGTTGTGATCACAATTCAAAATTCACGAGACAACTGTACGTCAGCCTTTGACTAAATCACGCGGCACGCGCCCAATCTCGAACGCAGGGCTGAGCCTGGATAGTCCTTGGATGGGTGGCCACCACATACAGAGAGGTGTTCATAGGCTGCTGTGGGGCTAAGTGCTGAGATGCAGAGGGCAGTGCAAAAAAATACATTGTACTGCATATCTATGCTCTATCTATGCCCCCCTCTATCTTTACCAACTCAAACTGACCAGCATGATGAAGCATGGTCAATTAACCCACATGCCCCGCATGGTGTGGGAAGACCCTCATCCAGCAGTGGATTGACAAAAGTTTTTAAGTCTCTTCAGATTAACAATTTAAATCCATGCCACACAGCCTCGACTTGGCACGTAAGGACAATCGCTGTTTGTTTTCTGGGTTGCGCCCCTTCCTGTAAGCCATTAAAGAAGGTGGAATTTCCACTTTTTTTTCTCTAATACTTCCTCATTCATTTCGATTCTTACTCAAGGACACGGCCCTGTTTAATGTACAGTTGATGACATTCTGCGCTGCTGCTCTAAACAAACACCTTTACGATTGCTCCCGCGTAATCTCCCTGTTGAATGGAATGCCCTTTACGATGCTCCTACACAAAACGAACCCGGCTACTGTAGAAATCTGTATTATAACGTTTCTGCATATAATATCCCTGCTGTATATAATTATGGCCTTATCCCATTATCCATATGCATCATACATATCATTTATTTGTTGATGCTGTGTTTGCAGAGGTGCACAAGAACAACAAAAACTCAACAAATTCGTCAATAACACTAGCCTTAAAAGGAAGAATAATGCTTACATACACGAGCAATACTATAATTGCTGCAATGTATAGAGTGATCCATTCACAGACTCTTCTACACAGGCGATTAAATATTGTGAATGCAATGGCTCCATATCTCACTCGATGACGAGAGTATTGAGACTGACAGGAGACATGCAAGAGGCTTTCATATGTTGAAAATAAATTATATATATTTTCTTATTGTTTTTGTTGGGTATCTATAAATGGATCACCCTGTATTTCCTTCCCACTCAACAATGACCTTGGGATGATTGTTATTGATTAAAATATTCCAAGTAGAAACTCCCACGAGATGAAACCCCTTTGTTTGAAAAGGTGTTCACAATAACACATACATATGTCCAACCAGCCCTCATCTCCCCACTATTGCACAGCATCCCAAGATACAAATTTACTCGTATGTATGTATGTATGTTGAACTTCTTTCGTACGTAGCCATCCGTACTAATCGTAGGTGCGGGGGAAGGCCAACAAACTAAACGTAAAAACCAGTTCTAAAGAAATTATATTCTTTGGATCTTTCGGTAAAATCACATAGATAGGTTCAAAGAAAATAACAAAAAACTGCGACGTTTCGATCGCAACAGAAGTGGTCGTCATCAGGAAAAGGGGGTTAGCCTCTAAAGGCAAACCGTTTATGAAGGTTTAAAGATGGGCATAGCCCAAGTGTGTCGGCAGCATGGGCGGGGCAGCTAATGTTAATGTAGGGGAAAACAACGACACCGGCAGTGGGTCTCCACCAATCAAAGGGCCGCCAGGCAAACATTGCACCTTGCTCCACACACCCACACTGCTGACGGTGGAGGTTGCTGCTAGAGGTGATGGTAGTTGTGGGTAATGATGGTGCTGGTGGTGGGCTTCTACCAATAAAGGGCTACTGCTTGTGGTGATGGTAGTAGTGGGCAGTGATGGTCCTGGTGAACCTATCTTGATGAAATTTCGATTTAAAGCTTTCGTGACTGCAGGGATTCATCTTCTTGGTTCTTTCGGTAAAGTCACGTAGAAGGGAAGTAATAAAATAATAAAAAAAATAAAAATAAAAAATTATGTTTTATTTTTATTATTTTATTACTTCCCTTCTACGTGACTATCTTGATGACTTTACCGAAAGACCCAAAGAACATTAATTGCTGCAGTCACGAAAGCTTTAAGTCTAAAAAAATTCGTTTTTAAGCTATATTTAAAAGTGCCTAGCTCCAGTGGCTTCCTAATATCGGATGGAAGAGCATTCCAGACGACCGCAGAAGCGCATCTGAAAGCGCGCGATGCAGTGACCGTCTTTGTTTGATGGCCAGCCAAAAGCCGCTGTGAAGAAGACAGGAGCTTGCGTGGATCATGCTCCTTGACGAGATCAGCAAGGTTTGTGTTTAATCTTTGGCAAGCACTTTACATGTAATGAATGCGATCTTATAATGTATACGTTCGGCAACTGCCAATGCAGCTCATCGAGCAATGAACGGACAATGGTCAGATAGATCTTGCAGTACCCGCCATGCCACATGACTTGTATAAGAGCTGTTCGAATTAATCTGATGGGACTTGGCAATGAATGGATGACTTATTGTTGTTGGTGGCTGGAGGGGGGCTGATGTGCAGAGTATTGAACTGCAGAAATATATTTGTGTAAACGTTATGATGAAACCACGAATAATTTACAGCCGTTTGGTCAAGCCACTGCGGAAGGCGTACCCAAGCGATGCTAGTCATGGGGGTTGCCGACCACACTTCACCACGCTTGGCAGTGGAAGATGACAAAGCCAGGCAGCATACACGCGGAAAAATAATTAAGAGCACAAACACGGCTGTTGTTACACTGCCCTGAGCTAGCCACAACATAGCACCGCGTCAGCTGACAACGTATTTTATGTGCGGTGGTTTCCCATTCCTAGACCTTACCAAGCTCCAACTTGCTTAGCTTCCTAGATTCGACGAGTTCGGTCGCATTCTGGGCAATTTGGTCATATCCTTACATATGGGGTTGTGCATACGTGTACATACATACATATACGGTGGGGAGCAGTAGTGTAGCAGTTAGCGCGCTGCGCTACAAACCCGGTGACCAAGTTAAATTCCCATTCATGGCCAAAACCAGCGACGATTATCTGAATCGATCCTGGGCCTCCACCAGGTCAGCTCAGCCTTAAATGAATGCCTGGTGCATTGTGTAAACATCGCCAAAAAGGTGACAAATTCGGCCAGACATGGTGCTGGCGACCCACCCCCTCATGTGCTGTGCCAAACTTTATAGGTGCTCGCTAACAGCACTTGCTCCTCGTCTGTTTAGGTTATAACGAGTGATGTTTTTTTACATATACACGTATGTTTGTCATATTATATTAATGAAGTTACTGCTTCAGAACACTCATACATAAAGTGCTCGGGCTGTTTACAGGACAGCAGTGACTCTAAACTAGTCTAGACAGGGGTGACTGTCCAAGGTAGGCAGCTGGGGAGAGACAGGCAGTCCACAGACAATCAAGTGAAGCCCCCACTCCTGCAGCGAGGTGAAGGTGCTCACCTCTGACTTGAGGCTGGCCCCAGATGGGTGTCCCTTCATGTGGCTCTTGAGGCTATGCTGACTGGAGAAGGCCCTCTCGCATCCGCCGCTGGGGCATGGGAACGGCCGCTCTCCTGTCATCATAATCGTCGTTTATTATTTATACCACACCTCCCATGCAGTACAACTTGCGGCGCCCAGCACAAAAGGTTATTTGGGATCATGACTCGGTAAGGAAGTGATTTGCAGACCAAATACAATGTTCCAAACCAATAATATTACAATTCAGTACGAATAATTAACAAACGAGAATAAACATTGAAGATGAAAATACGCTACTCTACTTGTTTTTGTCCCCTCCACAAGCGCAAGTGCGCTTCCCACAGCAACAACAGAGTCAGCGACGACAAGACTAACCAGCTGTCATTCCCAATTAAATACTAGTGTGACCCACAGCTCCCACCTCGTAGAGACACGTCCTAAGCTATGCCCCTCGGGCAGTCCGCCACAAGTTTGAAGCTTCGTAAATATTAAAATATGACTAAAGTAACAAACCACGTCCTCTAAGGCACCCTAGTGACATCAATTGTAATTGCAATTAGAGCAGCATTGTCATCTGAAATTGCAATTACATTCTGATGCCAATTCATTACGAATTAAGCAATTACATGTGTAATTAACCCCAGGTCGCCCTCATCCAGCACAGGATTAGCAAACAAGGTTGTACGTGTACATCGTAAACGCCTAAGGCTTAGAGCCAGCCTAAGGCATTCTTATAATAATTATGGTTCAGTGCCAATTCCAGAAAACCTCCCACATGACCACTTGTTCTATGATTCACTCCAATAAAAATCCTTCTTCTTGATGAATACTGCAAGTTGGCAGTGATGGGAAAGAAGAACACTTGATGACTATAGTGTGTTCTGAAACGATAGGTTAGGTACTTAAGGGTGACTCTCCAGGCTGGTCAGAACTTAGTTGCTTTACTGCTTGCCGTTCGGGTGTGGGTCGGATAATGTCCATCACATCACCTTCACGTCATTACCCGACCCACACACTCACGGCAAGCCGAACAAACGACTTGAGTTCCGACTCAACTTTACGGGTACCCGTCTGATGCACGACTCAAGTGTGTATGTGTGTACAAATACTGCACAAGCAAGTGCGAGCACCAGGCCATACCCGTGTGCGTGCGCACGTGCGTGCGCAGGTGGTGGCTGACGGAGAATGCCTTCCCGCAGCCGCTGTGTTTGCACCTGAGAGAGGAAGAAAGATGATGGAGTGGGGGGGGAAGGCCAGGTCAGGGGGTCAACGTCTCATGACCAGAGAAATATGCCCAGAAAATCATATTCTTGGGTCTTCCGGTAAAGTCACGTAGATAGGTTCAAAGAAAATATTTTTTGTTATTTTCTTTGAACCTATCTACGTGACTTACCGAAACTTCACCGAAAGACCCAATAATATGAATTCCTGCAGTCACGAAAGCTTTAAGTCAAGATTTATACCCAGAAAAGGCACCACAGAGTTACATTTATTGGTCACCTTTACCACCAACACAACCATAACCAGACGGCGCTCCCTCTGAACTAATGGAACCATTAAAAAGGATATTACACATAGCTCTGCTCATAACAGCAGCAAGACTCTCAGCCAGAAACTGTCATCATCATTATCATCATCCCAGTGTGATGAGCAACTTTGTCGGGCTGCATGTATTGGTGCAGGGAAGTCAGCAGCGGTCGGCCGACCCACAAAATGGCACGCGACTTCGAATGTAGATGAGGGCTGGCCAATGCCAATTTAAACGTGGCAGGGAGCTCAACTCTTTCGTTGTTTGATTTGGGTCAGTTTCAATTTGACAAATGTGAGCAGATCAATCACTTTCAAGTGATGAATTGTACGATTGTTATATGTCTCATAACTACGGCTCAGCTGATACAGCAGCAACACCCTTGGAAAGGAAATGTCTTCGTTCCTGTGCAGGTGGTATAAAATGAGGACCAATTTGGTGAAGGCAAGTCAACGGTAGTCACCCAACAAACTGGAACACGACCCTGAACGTAGGCGAGCACCGGCCAATCAGTGAACCCGACTCTTCCACCGCTCAGTTTCAGCAGCACACACGCACTCACTGGAAGGGTCGCTCTCCCGTGTGGGTGCGCACGTGCTTGCGCAGGTCGCTCAATGTCGTGAAGAACTTGGTGCAGCCCTCCGAGTCGCAGTTGAACGTGTTCCCCGTGTGGATCCTCTGGTGTGCCTTGAGCCTGCGGGAGGCACATGGAGGGAGCACCAATAGGTTCACTTCCCCACGAGTTCACCAGTTTACACGATGTAATGTGGATATACTTGATTTCAAGCTTTCGTGACTGCAGGAATCCATACTCTTTGGTTATTGCGGTAAAGTCACGTAGGTAGAAAAATAATAGATCACGACGTTTCGATCGCAACACAAGCAATCGTCATCAGGTGGGACAACCACAGCAAGAAGAAACTGCTGAAGTAGGCTTACTTCAGCAGTTTCTGATGACGATTGCTTGTGTTGCGTCCCAAACGTCGTGATCTATTATTTTTCTACCTACATGACTTTACCGAAAGAACCAAAGGGTATGTGGATATGCGTAGTGCTAAGATTCGTCAATTAGTAAGATTTATCAACTAAGTCTGAAATGTGTTGAGTCTTTGTTTTGTGGTCATTCACTCAGGTACATTTTAAGTTGGCAGCTGCACCCAATACCCTGCCTGCTGAAAGTGATTTACCCCCTACACACCACACTCAGAAGAATGTAGCTGACGACACAGATGATGTCATCAAACCCCATCTAGCTGAACACGTGGGAACAGAGGCGAGACATTTCCCACAACTATTTTAGTATTATCCTTATTAGTCGAGGAATCTAAACAATTGGTATGGTGAGCAATTGAATTAATATCCCAGCTCTAAATGAAGCTGCATCTCAAAACGCTGTGCAGAAATATTGCACGTATTTATTTTAGAGGCAATCAGTCATAGGCAAAGGGGAAAAAAGGAAGATCTTCGACTTAGACTTGAACAAGAGCCCAGAGTCTAAAGCAAAAACAGTTGGGCAAAGAAGTTCCAGCCTACGGGGGACAGAAGAGGCAAATGAGTGACCTACCACGGTTTGAAAGTTGACTTGAGAGCGAGTTTCTCCGAAAACCCTTCTTTCCTAGAGTGGAGTTATGAGATGAGCCCCTTGAGAATCTTAAAAAGTGTAATCTTGCAAATGAAAGGAAAGCTCTAGTGCTAGAGCTGAGTGTCATCATTTAGTCTTATTCTAGTCAACAAAAAACCCGTGGAATTTTTGTCAAGTCTTATTCTAGGTCGACAAAGGGTGGTAAACTATTATTTTCCGAATTTTGTTACGACAGACTTCACACATTTGTAAAAATGTTTAACTCGCATGGAATCGCATGACATCCAAATGAAATGCAGCCCTCATTTCAGCCCATCTTTTTTTCCAATCGTGCACTCGCAAGGGAGAGCGAGAGGATTAGCTACGAGCTGCTGTGGATGCTGTCCATGCACAGCAGGCACTGTGCGGTTGCGCGAGCAGCAATAATAGCAGCATGCTGATTCGCATCAGCGTTCGTGTAGGCGTTTGTCATTTACCAGCCAGCCTGAGCGTCAGAACTCAGGTTTTATTGCATCCCGTTTTAAAAACCACACGTATGAAAACCGATGAGTGAATTACATCATCTTGACTTAAAGCATTTGTGACTGCAGGAATTACATCATGTTTAACAACCAGGATCTAGCTCCTTTCATAGTGGCGATTAACTCCAAATTGAAGGGTTAGGAGTGCCAATTTGTGGAATTCCAGCAGTGGTCTGCAAACGGGGAGACCGCTGTCTACCATAGGAATATATAATTTTCAGCACTGGTTGACAGCTAACGAAGGACACCTTTCTAATGCTTGTTAAGAGCAGTGACACGGTTTACAGGTTCTTAAAAATTGTTAAACCATGTAAATAAAGTGTGTGACTGAAAAGGGTTATTCAGTAACCTGAACGATATGTCTAAACACTGTTACAACCTGGGAAAGACTTAAAAGGGTAATTGAAACTCATAAATGATATGCAAATATTATATAATCACGGCTCTAAACGCCCCCCCCCACCCCCCATGTGGAAACACACGTTGACACTTTGTTCAACACCGCACTCCAATCCAGCTGTTCCGTTGCAGATTCAAACCACGATACTCCTCCTCACAGGGTATTTTTAGTCTCTTTGTGCCAAGCGATAACAACGTGTTCCTTCCAGACTGTACATGTGAGTGTGCGAGTCTGTGTGCATAAGTGTGTGAGTGAATGTGTATATTTGAAAGCACAGGCTGTTTCTGTCCGCTCGTGCTGACACCACGAACAACGCGATAACTGAAATTGTACAAGTCTTGGTCTGTGTGCGTGTGTCTGCGTGTGAGTGTGTGAGGAAGTGGCGCTGTGGTTTTCATATAATGTTCTACGATCAAGGCGACCTGAGTAATATTCCTGGTCATGGCCATCAGTGACGTGCAATTACCTAGCACGGTGCAAACACCAGCATAAGGTAGAAATAAGTATAACCCGTAAAAACAAAGTTTTTCACTATAAATCCTTTATATGCGTGGCGGCTAGAGTCCTCTCGTCCTCTGGCTTGAGATGGCTGCCACCTATGGGTCAGATGATTGTCTGCCAGTATTAAGCAATTGGTAATTAAATATTTAATTTGTTTTCCCTAAACAGTGTAAAATTTTGGAAAAAAAATTTCACGAACATTAATTGTCTCGCACAACGAGTCTGTGTGCAAAATGTCAGTTCGATTGGATCACGGGAAGTGGGTTAAAAAACGACCGAAAGATTTGCACGGTCGTAAGCAAGCAAGCAAGCACGCAAGCACGCAAGCGAACTTAATATAAAGGATTTAAAAAGGTGATCGGCAGTGGTACTATCCACACCACCCCAGTGTGCAGTGTAAAAGGCAGAGGTGCCACACCGCACTGTCTTGCTCATGCCACTGTTGGCAAAAGGGCCTCCCCACAAGAGAATTCTGGAGAACCCCGACAGAGGTAATTCACCTACTCTTCCATACTGGCCAGCCATCTTGGAGATGGGTTTATCCACATTTTACTCCACGTGTGACCTGCCAATGGACTGTGGAGTACCCATTTATACAGCTGGGTGGGCAGAGTTGGGGGGGCATTTAATATATTTTCCCATTGTTTCAATTGCCACGCCGGGATATCAAACCAGCAGCCTCTGGATTGCAAGTCCAGTTTGCTAACAATTACATCTTGACAGCATCAGTGTTCTGATACTGATAAAGTACTCGATAACAGCACTTGTCCCAACAATCTATGAAACTAAATATAAACTCATTGGCTTTACGTATGGAGAGGTATCGAAGCCGTCCCCCCCCCTTTCCACATGGGTTCAAAATCCTTGCCATGACCGAGGACTAAACCTAAAACCAGAACGTGGGACAATGTAGGAGCAAGCTATGGAAGTCGGGCGTTGACAAGCATCTCCCCGTTCAAGCAGAAGGCAGCGCTCATCTGCACTGATGGCAGCGATCTTTAGCAACGCGATTAGCGTGGCTCTTCTATCGCACGGTACGTCCTCCTGTCACCATTACAACAACACCCCAGCGCACCGGTAAAGGGTGTTGAAGGATTTCTCGCAGCCGCTGACGCCGCACTCGAAGGGCTTCTCGCGCGTGTGCACGCGCACGTGGATCTTGCGGCTGTAGGAGGTGAGGAAGGCCTTGCCGCAGCCCGTCTGCTCGCACACAAACGTGTACTCGCCGCGGTGCGTCTTCTCGTGCGTCTTCAGGTTGCCCGCCGTGCTGTAGGTGCGCTCGCAGCCCTCGTAGGCGCACTGGTAGCGCTTCACCTGCATGAAACAAGTGCGCAAAAAGACATCTCAGCGACTGCCTGGGAACAGGATGGCAATTATGCCAGGGTTCATGTATGGCTCGGAGTGCTTGGACATTCAAGAAATAGTCAACCTACTAGTTACGAGGCTGCCAGTGATGGGAATGCGGAGATTAATTTATGGAGCAAGTATAAAAGATTATGTGAGCAATGATGAATTGAGATGATGGCTGAAGGTAGCGTCGAAAGAGGAAAAGTTGAGCGAGACTAGACTAAGATGGTTTAGATATGTGGCCAATTCGGTAGACTATGTTGAAAAGGACGTTCAGACAAAGGTTGAGCAAAAGAGAAAGAGGGGAGGCAGACTAAAGAAGATAAAGCGAGAAGTTGTCAATGAGAACATGCGAGCATGCAGCGTTGCTGTGAAGATGGCAATGGGTCGGAGCCTGTAAAGAGAAGACTCTGAAAGCAGATCGCAACTTGAACAATGAGCTAGCACTACCAAGATGTTGGGTTTGGATCTGGGTTGGTCACCCATGATTCAACGACGTTCTCATGTGTAGTGCGTTGATGGTCTTAGCCTGGACAACAATCACTACACGTAATAAACTTACGCTAATTATAATTATCCACTTAATGTCACAAAATTCCACCCGTGAGAATCAACATTACAAACATTTCTCTCAGTGGCAAGATTGTGTGGGAAGTTTGGCCCCCTAGTCACTTGAAGGACTATCACAGGTAGTCCTGTGATGTGCGCTTCCGTGGGCCATGCTTTAACACAAAGTAAGAAAGGAATGCACCGCAAGATATCCTAATGGAATCTTTGTCTCTTGGCATGATATAAATGGCGAATGACAAAGGTCAATCCACTGCTGGATGAAGGCCTCCATAAGCCACCACCCATCTATCCACCTAGCACCTGCACATAAGCCACTATCATCGCTCCATCTCCTTGGTGGTCTCCCTCTTGGATGTACGAGGTCTTCAAGTGAACCAACAGCATTTCTATATTTCCCACCTCCACCAACCGGCACTGACTAGCAAGGCGAGTATTCTCAAATATAGTACAGTATAACCTCAATGGCCACAACAATGTGGGGAGACCCTCATCCTAGCAGTGAACTGGAAAAGGAGACTGTACATTTTACTGTCAGCGAAATGTCTTGCCCGTCAGTATCCGTGGATTGCTCTCTCGTCATACACAACCAATGAAACCTTCAAAAGCACGTAATTAAATATAAAAACACAGCTCTCCTTGCTCAACAATGTTATGTGGCAAAAAAAAATTAACAAACAAAACACACAGCCTGGCCACGTTACCACTAATTACATTTGATGAGCGTGGTACAGAAGAATGTTCAACAAATGACCCCTGGCTTGCTGCTAATGTTATTACAGGGAGGGTGTCACCTGTGTTGCTAAACGCTGCCATTAGTCACACAGCTGGGATCTCTATGTGCTTGGATGCCGAGCTGCATTACACGGGAAAAAGTCAATGTTTAATATCCATTAGAAATGTTTTTTTTTAATAAACAACACCACGACGTAGGTTTAGCCATGCTGTACAGCTCTCTCTCTCGTGTGACTGCAGGCTGCACTACGTGTTCTTGGACAAGACCCGACGTACGGCTCAACATTCTGGAAGCTTCTCCATGAACTCAATTGGGAAGCTCAAATTCGTCCAATATAAAAGGTTGCCACAAGCTGCTTCTGCTGATATTGCTGGCTGCTGGTGTTGTAATTACACCAGCACCAGCAACTGGCAACTTGATAGAATTGAGAACGTGACCTACACTACTTGGCTTCTGAAGAAGCTCCCAGCACATGAGCGAAACGTCAGACATCATGCACAACAACACACGGTTACTTCAACCCAAAAACCCATGAGAGAACTGTTTACATAAAGGGCAAAGATTTTGTTATTTATTTTAGTTTAGTTGTCTATTTATATTTCATCACCAAATGTATCCCAGTTGTGCCATCAACAACATGACGTCTGGAAGCGGTGCGCAGGACCATGCCTAGTCAGTCACTTCACAACGCTTACAGGCTTTTACGTGTTACAATAAAAAGTGGTTAACACCCTGCGGAAACTAACTGTAAATGTTGTCAAAGTTGAATTTGGTGAAAATATAAAGGCTCATTTTAACACGTAGGCTTTCGCGATGATGTCACCCTGCTGCTACTCTATTTAAGACCGGGAGCAAGAGCAGAGCCTCACCATTCTGGCGATTTTCCCGATTATGCTGGATGCAATTACCAGCGAAACGTCGTATTCAAAAATTGTAAATATTGTGGTTTCACGCTTCAACACATCGGTGGGATAAAGTAGTGAACTATTTGTCTTTTGTCAACGTGACACTTTTTTGCTGATAACGCGATCTAACCCCAAAAGTTGATTATGATTATGAATATAAAGGCTATTATATTTTTCTTGTGCAGTCAATTTACAAACGGGTGGTTTGCTTAGACTTGAGCCTAGAATCTCACGAGTGCTGGCTCGGTGTTTTGACAGTGCTATGAGCCACCCGAGTAAACCACTTACTTTCAGTTTATAACTGTACAGTATTTTAAATGCGTAACCATTCACATCCCTATTTTATTCGCATTTCTCGGGTTAGACAACCACAAGTCCTTGACTAAGGTGATGTCAGACTGACATCACTTGTTTTCCAAATGTGAGGTGATAGACTATCTGACATCACCTCAAATTTGGAAAACAGTTCAAGATGAGAATCTTATCTGAGCCATGGGGGGGAGTTTATAACCACTTTGCTTATGAACGTTATTTCAACAGCAGTCTTTCCCGTATTGCCCCTTCTGGTGAACAGTCAATTGAAATAGTGGCTTTGTGGCAGAGGTCGCAAACGGGTTTTGATTCCTTACCCTACCCGTACCCGGCCGCACCAGGGTCGCAAACGGGTACCCGTACCCGGCCGTACCCGTACCCTACCTGTACCCGGCTGGGTACGGGTAGGGTACGGGTATCGGGTACCTGATTGCGACCTCTGGGATGAAGCCATGTTGCAGGCGCGGGTGGGTTGATTCTAGGAACTTTAATGGTGAGAAGAGACAAGACGTTGGGAAATGAATGACAAACAGTTACTCACCAGTGACTCACGGTCTACCCGTAGCCGTACCCGGCCGCACCAGGGTCGCAAACGGGTATCAGGTAGGGTACGGGTATCGGGTACCCGGTTGCGACCTCTGCTTTGTGGTGTTTGCCCAGCACAAATTAAACATTTCCAACTGTGATACAAATTCCACTGACAAAGCAAATGGAAAAGCCCAGATGGCTAATCTGGGTTGCTATGGTTTGGAGGCTTTTTTGAATACTGTATTTGACAGCCAACCGGCTGTTTATTTATTTTCAATTGTCACCATCATTACCCCATCGTTGTGATTTAGCGTCTAGTTTGTAGTGAAACTGGAATCTGTTAAGTGAACTCAATGAGACGCCGCCCATCAACCACCACACCCCATGATGCCACCATGGACTTTTAAATGAACCCCCATGCCCACAATCCCAAGCTCTGTGATGGTCTACAGCTTGAATTTCAGGAACAAATAAAAGCAAGGCAATGTTTTTTCTTTCAACCAATCTCAGGAAACTGACCAAATAGGAAGCATTCTCTCTTGGCAGGACAGAAACTTATAATGCTTCGACAGGTGACCACTCTGGACACAACTTCTATGCTCCTACGCATACCGGCAAAGACAATCGCGAAACATGTGTCACAAATCACCTCCACGGAGTGCAGATGCCGTCACATCCATAAGTAGAATATCTAGCCTCGACATTTACATGAACAACACATTTATTTAAATTAAAGAAACACCGACTCAACCAAATTATTCCGCAAAGCTCTGTGCATACCACAAACGTGTCCTCTCAGGAACCTCTTCACCGCAACAACCCATGATGCTCTTACATTCTCCTATCCCGCACCTGGACCCCTCCACAATGCCCTTCTCTGACCTTTGCAGTGTCCCTCATCAGTGTCCCAACCACTGGCTCTTTCATCTCAAATGCACGTCCCCTCTCCTCCCCTGTTCCTCTGCTCAAAACCCATACCACCCTTTTCAATTGCCTCTCATATGCCATGCCTCCTTCTCTCGCCTCTATTCCTCATTACTTTCACCCATACGGATAATTAAGCCATGCCTCTCTCCTCTCACACATGCCCCCTTCTCTTCCCTGACATACCCAGACCCCGCTGTTAAGTAGCTAACCCCCCTCTATTCCCCCTATCACTTAACTCTCCCATTCCCCACTCATCTCGCCGATGCCCCCAACCCGTGCCCTTCTCTCCTCCCCACAAGCAGCTAACCCATGTCCATCGTCAATGCCCCCCCGCATGTTGTATTAACGTGTACCCCCACTTTTCACCTTGTCACTGTGCCCCCCCACCCACACAGTCCTCACCTCCCTCTTCCGTGTCCTGTAGCTCCCCACCCCATGCCTTCTGTGCCCCCCCCATGTCCCTGTGCCCCCCCCATGTACCTGTACCCCCCCCCCATGTCCCTGTACCCCCCATGTACCTGTACCCCCCCCATGTCCATGTGCCCCCCCATGTCCCTGTGCCCCCCATGTCCCTGTGCCCCCCATGTCCCTGTAACCCCCCCCCCCGTCCCTGTGCCCCCCCCATGCCCCTGTGCCCCCCATGTCCCTGTAACCCCCCATGTCCCCGTGCCCCCCCCATGTACCTGTGCCCCCCCCCCCATGTACCTGTGCCCCCCCCCCATGTACCTGTGCCCCCCCCCCATGTACCTGTGCCCCCCCCATGTCCCTGTGCCCCCCCCCATGTACCTGTGCCCCCCCCCCCCCCATGTACCTGTGTGCCCCCCCCACCCCACACCGTCCTCACCTCCCTCCTCCGTGTCCGCGGGCACTGCGCGCTCAGCGTGAGCGTGGCTCCCTGGATGTCGGCGGGCATGGGCGTGTGAGCGCCGGGCTTGAGCGTCATGAGGATGCGGTCCTGCGAGATGGTGTGCTCGATGTAGCCACCGATCCCGTCGTCGTCGTCGTCCTCCTCCTCCTCGTCGTCGTCTCCACCCTCCTCGTCGTCGTCCCTCCCCTCCTCTCCCCCGCGCCGACTCCCCGACGCGCGGGCCGAAGCCTCGGCGTGGCCTAGCGGCCAGGCGCCGCCCTCGATGAGCACGGTGGTGCGGTCCCACACGGGCGACCCCGAGGCTCCGCGAGGCCCCGCTCGCCGCCGCGGGCCCAACTCGGCCACGCCCCCCGACCCCCGAGCCACGCCCACAAATCCCCCGAAGGACACGCCCCCCGAGGAGCGCGCGCCGCCACTGCCACCGGCACGCGCGCGCATGACGTCGTCGTCGCGCATGCGCTCTCGGCGCGTCTCGTCGTCCTCGCGCTCGGTGGCGCGCGCCGCCAGGAAGCGCTCGAGCGCGAGGCCCGGCCCGCCATCTTGCTCGTCCTCGTCCTCCAGGTCGTCGTCGTCTTCGTCGTCGTCGTCGTTCATTCCGTCCGTTCCGTCTCGACGATCACGCTCCTCCGCCTCGTCGTCCTCCTCGTCGCCGTCGTCGTCGCGGCGCAACGCGTCGTCGCCCAGCGGCGGCCGCGGTGGTTCGGCCGCGTCGCTCTCGTCGCCGAGCGCAAGCGGCGGCCGCTCGATTCGGCCGCCCGCCATGTTTACAGAGGAGGCGCCTATGCGCATTGGCCCCGCCCCTCTATAGGGACATGCCCCGCCTCTTTCGCCACATGCCCCGCCTCTTCCGCCATATGCCCCGCCTTTTCCGTCATGTGCCCCGCCTCTTTCGCCACATGCCCCGCCTTTTCCGCCATATGCCCCGCCCCTTCCACCACATCCCCCGCCTTTTCCGCCATATGCCCCGCCCCTTCTACCACATGCCCCGCCCCTTCCACCACATGTCCCCCGCCCCTCTGCGCGCGTGGTCCCGCCCATTCATACAGCGCTCCTTAAAAATCAAATGATTTGAGTGCTAAATCTTGACTTAAAACTTTCGTGACTGCAGGAATTAATATTCTTGGGTCTTTCGGTAAAGTCACGGATTTTTAACCTATCTACGTGACTTTATCGAAAGAGCCAAGAAAATTATTTGAGCGCTGCACGAGCACAAACTAGCACAAATTGACACATTCGTCAATAACATTGCCTTAAAAATATAAATGTATATAAGAGGCGACATTTTGGGCAATGGCCCATTGATATATAACTGCCCCTTAATGAAGTAATTTTCTGTAAAACAACACGCACAAAATAATTTACACTTCCCGTCAATCACAAGACCTTCTGGGAAGGAATCATTCGATCAGCCTTAGTTCTTGCATCCAGAGCCGGCCCTAGACCTTTGGGGGCCCTAAGCAAAATTTGGTTGCAGGCCCCTTTGATGTTCGATTTTTTTCACCCACTCGCTAAGCAGTGACTCTAGGGGGCCCTCTGCTGGCCACGGGGCCCTTTGCAATTGCAAGGGTCGCTTAGTGGCTGGGCCGGCTGTGCTTGCATCCCACTGGGATTTTTGGTTACTCAGCGTTGGTGTGCGGTGGCTTTTTTTTTTCTGGAAGACTTTGCAGTTTTTTCCTGGATTTTTCTGTTTGCGCATAGTCACTTTAAGATGTTTCTTGGTCATGGTTTTGTTTGTTGCGGTTGCACCCGATTCAAGAACCGAATGACTCACAGGGCTATACCAAATCAATGAAATAAATGAAACTGAGTTCAATACCGTACAAGCAAACCCTGGACCGGTTTTGACTTACGATGCCTCATAAGAATGGCCAGGCTAGATTTGAAGTTTTTCCTGACTGCAGGGATCCATACTCTGGTTCTTTCGGTAAAGTCACGTAGATATAATGACGGACGCTTGTGTTGCGCCTGAAACGTCGTGATTAAAATTATTTTATTTTATACCTACGTGACTTTACCGAAAGAACCAAAGAGTAAGAATGGCCAGGCTTGCTTCAACCAATGCGGGTGAACTGCCAAATGCTAGAGGCAAGGACAGCACTAAAAACTCGTTGCTCATAGCGTTGAACGGGCCCCCATGGTTTATATGCAGTGTATGTGATAATCCGACAACATTTGTTTGACAAGCCTGACTGCGGACGAGACCCAGAAGATTGAAACTGGTCGAGGTTTTGATTGCTTAAATGCGTGCTGTTGATCTTGTTGGTCTGGAGAGCCAATACAGTAGTTGATGGACTGCAATATATTTGTATTTACACATGGAAACAAAACTGAGTGATGCTTATATTGCCTTTGAAACTAAATTCAAGTAGTTTTGAAGTTTTCGTGACTGCAGGGATCCATACTCTTTGGTTATTTCGGTAAAGTCACGAAGGTTAAAAAAATTGTAATCACGATGTTTCGGGCGCAACATGACGGACGCTTGTGTTGCGCCCGAAACGTCGTGATATTTTTTTTTATATATATACCTACGTGACTTTACCGAAAGAACCAAAGAGTTTCGTCTAAAATTCAAGTATATTTATATTCTTAGGTTTTTTTCGGTAAAGTCACGTAGGTAAAAACATTAAAAAGTAAAATAAAATAAAAATCACGACGTTTCGGAGGCAACACAAGCTTCCGTCTTCAGGTGGTACCGTCACAGCCACGACAGCTGTATCAAGTGACTTTACCGAAAAAACCTAAGAATATGAATCTTTGCAGTCACGAAAGCTTCAAATCTAGAATTCAAGTATATTCTCAGCCTGGTCGCCAATGACTGCACACGATATAAACCCCGCACATTAAACGTGGTCTTAAACGGAATTCGGTGAATTCGAGGTTTGACTCGCGTCGTGAACATTACAGAGCTGCCCCCCTACGGTGTAAATTTCTGAGAAACTGATCAAGTTGATATCGTATGGTGTAAAATTATACCGTGGCAACCCTATACAGTACAGTGTTCCAGACAGCTGCATGCAGTTCTATTCTTTTGCTGTGGTGACAAACAGGCGACAGCGATTCGCGAAGACAGCGGTGTTTCGATCGCCTGTCTTACTTTGAAAAAATATACATTCCTACATTGTGGAAGTGAATTACGATGCAGCGTCTTTGTTGAAAAAAATATGATCGAGTGGTAGATTGGTAAAAAGTGCGTTTTTTTTATTATTAGAATAGATCTTGACTTAAAGCTTTCATGACTGCAGAAACTCATATTCTTTGGGTCTTTCGGTAAATTCACGTAGATAGGTTAAAATAAAACAACAAAAAACTACGACAAGCGATCGCTTGTGTTGTGATCGAAACGTCGTTATTTTATTTGAACCTATCTATGTGACTTTACCGAAAGACCCAAGGAATATTATTAGAATAGCTTATAGATAATTGTGCATAACCCTTTGTCGTGCCACTGCTGAATGAGGGTCTCATACTGTGCTGATCATGAGGGTTGTTTGACCATACTTCACCATACTGGTTGATGCATGGTGGAGCCCAGGTCCGGTTCAGATATCACTTGCTACTTATGTTAGCTGTTACGTGAATTGATTCACACGTCATAATTGATAAGAAAAAAACAGTAATTAACACCTTTAAACACAGACAATCCTGATGATATTTGCCCACATTTAAATATAAATTTACGTGAAAATACTTCCCCTTTAATTAACAGTTATTTTTAATTCGCTCATAAGCTATGATATATATATTTTTAAATACGACTCGAAAGGAACATGGACAGCATATAAGATGTCATTTTACCTTCACAACAAAAGCCGATGCTGAGAATCGAATTCATGCCTTTGTCTTTGCTAGAATTGACTTCTGCAAACCTGTGCCTTACTGGAGTGCCCAATAAATGTATTTTTTTTAATCTGCAGTATGTACGAAACTCAGATACCCGGGTTTTAACAAGATCCACGATTTTCGAGCACATTGCTAATGTTTTATCATCCTTGCACTGGCTCCCGGTGGAATTCAGAAAAAATGTAAATGCTGCTACTAACCTACAATGTTCTAAATGGTCTTGCACCCCATGTCACCCCAGCGACCTGCCTTTTGTTTTTATGCACAAAGCTATTCCCATCCACATCAGGAAATCCGACTCTCGTGGTTATTTTAAGTCAAGCCTAAACACCTTTATTTTATGCAATGGATTTTCTTCCGGACTGATTTGATGGAGATCGTGACATTTTAATTAGTTTGTATACTGCAGTAGCTCGCGTGGATTCCACCGATAATTGCATATGTTTCTATTTAGTTTTTATCTTTCGTTTTATTTGATTTTGTTTGGGTTTTACTGGTGTGTCAGTGTTTTATTTTTAGGTCATATTTTTTTGACCTTTGATGTACAGCGCTTTAGGATTCTCGTACCAATTTGAAAGGCGCTTTATAAAACTAAATTTCATGTTAGAAATGTATTTAACACGCCCCCTGCTGTTTAAATAATTCGCCTCCAGGTATATGCCAATCAAATGCTTATTCTATCTTCAAATAATATATTTAATCATGCCGAAAATAAGCACGTAGAAAGACACCTTCAAACAAATGACTGAAACCCACCACCTGCCATCTCCAGCTCTGGGTTCCATCCTACGTACAGATCCATGCCCTGCTTACAGATCACAATCAGAATCTTTATACTGGAGGAATCCGATGGCTATAAAGCTATTTTCACAGTAGGTCCAGTAGGGGCAGGTCAGTAAAAACTTAATTTGAAGCTTTCGTGACTGCAGGAATTACTCGTTGGTTCTTTCGGTAAAGTCACGTATAAAGAGAAAATAATAAAGTAAGTAAATAAACATTTATTTTAAAATATATTTCTTTATTATTTTCTCTTTATATGTGACTTTACCGAAAGAACCAAAGAGCAGGTCAGTAAGTTTCAATACCCTTCTGTAAGACTGGAGACCTCACTCACAGTGACACGGACCCAAACACCGACAACACACAAGTCACCGAAGCTTTAGAGGAGATAGTGACACTCACAAATAAACGTCTTAGGAGAGGGAAATACACTTTATTTATTTCCATATCTGTCACTCCTTGCATCTCATACGCTCTGTATCACTTTGTATCTTTGTGCCTCTGTATACTGTTTTGTAGGGAGGTCTTGTTAATGAATCTATTATTCGTTTTTTAGGGATTTATCGACACACCTCATAATCGGAATTAAGTTACATTATACACGGGCACCAAAACCTAACTCGAGAGTATGTCTTTCAACTATTTATTCTATGAAGGAAATCACAATAACACTTTTCTTACAATGCAAACATTTAAAAAATCTGACCCAACAATGCAAAGAATGCAACGTCCACACGGAGGAGGCAAAGGTTAAGAGTTCACTTAAAAGTGGTTCTGTTTAGCGTCATCGCAAGTATCTTTCAGTATGGTGATTTATTAAACTTTTGATAGCTTCAATTTCGAGCTCGTCAGGTTTGGTGAGATATTGAGATGATATTTTCAGTGCAAACAGTTTGCTCAGATTGCTTGTTGTTGATGTTGGCAATGCACGATACTAAGCCGGACTGCACAAATATCTCTTGCCAAAGCAAAAGGCAATACAGGTAGTCCCCGACTTACGATGGTCCGACTTACGATATTTCGATCTTACGATGGTGATATCGATATCAAGTTCAAGTTCATTTATTAGGTATAGCCCTGTGAGCCATTCGGCTCTTGAATCGGGTGCAACCGCAACTTAACAAAAAACAAAAACATGAACAAGAAAACATCTTAAAGTGACTCTGTGACTACGTG